GGCTGATAAACTGTACCTTTGAAATGGCTCCAGAAGCATGGATGACCTTCAGACAGCAGCTTTTCCCCTGGAAATCCTTTGGTTGTCTCTCCACAATGGCCAGAATTTTCTTTGCTCCTGTGAAAACAAGTGGGACCCTTGCTTGTGACTCCATGGCTGGCCAGCAGGAAGGTCAGCTGCCCCAGGCTGGGTGACACATCCCCTCAGCTTGCTCTCTGCACCTTATTGTGATGAAACCAGGCAGCTGTTGTGCTGGCAGCCCTGGCTTTCTGAGCTGTTTTCACCCTGGCCCTGTGCACTTGCTGCCCACACGTTGGTGTGGACACCCCAGCCCGGCCACACCGAGTGGGTCTGTCCAGAAGATGCAGCCACTGAACTGCAGAGTCTCCTAGAAGGCACAAACCACCTTGGTCAGATAACATGAAGGCAGCAGGAACACGTTGTACCTCTGGCAAAGAGAAAAGACTTGCTGATCTGGAAAGGGCCATTTCCTGCTGGATTTCCCTGCAGTCCCTTCTTCCTAGATGCATTTTTCCTGTCGAGAGCAACTGGGTGTCTCTGCACCCACAGTCCCTGCAGGAACAGCAGGAGTGCTGGCTAAACAGCATCTGTGTGTTTGCACTAGTTCAGGTCGCTTCCCACTCAGCTGATCACCTGTTTTTATGCCCTGTGCTTCACGAAATGAATTAAATTGAGCAGGATCATAGGTCTATTTTTTCATTTGTACTGTGTTTCAGGAGAAATAAAGGCCTGTTACCAGTTAAGCAGCCTGTGTTCTTTCTTCCTGCCTGCCTTTCCGAGGAGGGAGAGACCTCCCATCATCCCTCCCAGGATGAGTCTGCCTTGAGGAACATTCATTGCTGGTTTGCACTTGGATATTGAGCCATTGACTTCAAGTCTTTGGAATCTGTGGGAAATGAAAGCACCATTAAAAACTTAAGGCAAAAAAACTGTTGAGTACCTCAGGCTTCCCTGTGGTGGTTGTCACTAGTTCTCCTGTCTTCTTGATGAAAGGGCTACATATAATTGCTAACTCCTGTTGGTAAACAAATGGCAGGAACATGGGATTTCTCCAGGTATTTCATACTAATTAATTTTGCATAAACCAAAAAGAAATCTCAGGACATTCCCCCCCCCAGTATCCAGCCCA